TAAACTACTAAAATTAATATCCATCAACCATTATGGTTAGGCCACTTTAGTAGCTATCAACCTTTACATAATATGAATATTAAATTAGATAGTAACTAATTTATAATTAATTATGTATACTACAAAAATTAATATTTATCAATCATTATGATTGGGCCACTTTGGTAACTACCAATCTTCACATAATATGAATATTAAATTAGATAGAGATTAATTCATCATTAAGTTATATTTACTACTAAAATTAATATTCATCGACCATTATGGTTAGGCCACTTTGGTAACTACTAACCCTCACATAATATGAATATTAAATTAACTAGTAACTAATTAATCATTAATTTACCCATTTAACATTATACACACATACTCATAATTGTCGATTGAAGTTTAAGCAACTTCGATCTCAAAAACTTAATAGTCCGAAATTTCATAGAAAATATCTTTTTATTTTATATACATAATAAAACATATTATTTTATTTTCGGACTTAAAGATCATAATTGAATCAATCTAAAATCGACTCTCCATCATGTATGTATGTTTGGGTATAAAACAAGAAGTTATTTGCATGTCTAATAATATTAGATTAAATTTCTAAACTCACAAATTATTCTAGAAATTTAAATTCCTAAAATAAATAAAATCACGCACATTATGTATTTAATAATCTATTTAAAATACTCATATACAGTGACATGCTTCTCATTCATCAATTATCACTATATATATAAAACAAATATATAATGATATATATATATATATATATATATATATATATATATATATATTTATATCCACCACACAAGTAGGTCCAGAAAATTTTTGGGTGTAAAATATACATGCTAGAGAAATGATGTTTCAAGAAACATCTATTTAATCATGCAAACCAATAAAGTTATATATACATATGCTTACATGTATATAGTAACTTTCAAGTCAAATATACAGGGGCGGAAATCAAGGTAGGAAACCAAAATAAATTCTTTGGTAAACAAACTGATCAAAAACATACTCTGGAGACTAATTGGACATTATACAATCATAGCCATGATTTTGATCAACAAATTTAATTATTTAATTTAAATTTAAATTTATATATATTATTTATGCAAACTTTAGTGGAATATAATGAGTTCCTAAATCATAAGCTCTGATATCACATGTAAACTTTAATTTATTCGTGTTAAGCCATTAATCACAAATTTACATGAATCCCATAATCTTAGAACTTCATGATTTCCACATATCTATAATGCATAAATAAATATAGTTAGATATAAATACCTTGAATCATGATAGTAAACCTTGTTGAGATCAAGTCCAATGTCGAGATCCTTTAATCACGAACTAATCTACAACTCTGATCAACAGGTAAAGGTAGAAACTGGTTTCCCTCTCTTGGCCTTTTGCACACATAAAATTTTTACGTGTTGTATCATTAATCGTATATAATTGATGGAGCATATGCACTTTTATAAAGGCAGAGAGATGACCAGCTTTCCTTTTAGTAATACAATTCTACTTTCCATCAAAGTAAAGAATGAGAAGGAAAACACTTCTCCAATAAGTAATTACCAAAAAGGTAATTATAAGTTGATCAAGAATAAATAATATTAATTGATATTTATTTACTTAACCACCAAGTAATATGTCACATGTTCAAATCATGTGGGCCACAATTAAATAAATAATCTTACACATGCATCATAAAATAATGATTTTTGAACACATATTTGGATCCAACTAGGATCCTTTGCTGCAAACGGGCCATGCTGTAGTATAAATAATTTCATTTAAGATATGTTTATTAAAAAGGTAATTTAAGAGTGAAACAGAACAACTTAATGATAAATTATTAAAAAGTTAAAAATTAAAATATATTGTTTGCTATTTCTGTTCTCCTTCCAATCTTCCTCGTCGATCACTGTCTTCCTCCTTGGATTCTTTCGCTCTCAGCCCTTTTAAATCAAAATATACAACCCTTATTTTTTAGCTCCTAAAATTAAATTGAACAAAATACTGGATAATATGGTTCGTTATTATTTAGCCTTCTTGTCCTAAGTTGTCTTATGCAATGGTTGACAAATATATATTGATTTATAATTTTAAAATAATTTTCCATTAATGTGATTTAAATAATTAGATATACCTTTTATATCTTGTTCAACATAAATCTTAACACCTTAAATACATTGAATCTTGTTCTTAACACTTTAAATCAATTGTATACTTGCATCTTTTAATCTTAACTTCTAAATCAATTGGATAAACATTTTAATTGTTCTCCACAAATTTTAATCTTTATTTCAACACTTTTTAATCTTGTTCGCAACACCTTTAATCTTTACCTCAACACCATTTAATCTTGCTCTGAACACATCTTAATCTTATTCTTAACACCTTTAATCTTTACATCAATGTCCTTTAATCTTTACCTCAACACATTTTAATCTTATTCACAATACATTTAATCTTTACCTCAACGCCATTTAATCTTATTCTCAACACCTTAATTTAATCTTGTTATCAACAACTTCAATATTTATCTCAACCTCATTTAATCTTGCTATCAACATATTTTATTCTTTATCTCAACATTTTTTAATCTTATTATCAACACCTTTTATTTTTACCTCAACGCTATTTAATCTTATTTTTAACACATTTAATCTTTACCTCAATGCCCTTTAATTTTTACATCAACGCCACTTAATCTTATTCTCAACATATTAATTTAATCTTGTTATCAACAATTTTAATATTTACCTCAACCTCATTTAATCTTCCTCTCAACATATTTTAATCTTTATCTCAACACTTTTTAATCTTGTTCTCAACACCTTTAATCTTGTTATCTACAACTTTAATATTTACCTCAACCTCATTTAATCTTGCTTTCAACATATTTTAGTCTTTATCTCAACACATTTTAATCTTATTCTCAACAGCTTTAATCTTATTATCAACAATTTTAATATTGATCTCAACCTTATTTAATCTTACTCTCAACATTTTTTAATTTTTATCTCAACACTTTTAATCTTGTTCTCAACACCTTTAATCTTTTTACCAACAACTTTAATATTTATCTCAACCTCATTTAATATTGTTTTCAACATATTTTAATCTTTATCTCAACACTTTTTAATCTTGTTCTCAACATATTTAATCTTTACCTCAACGCTATTTAATCTTGCTCTCAACAAATTTTAATCTTATTCTCAACATCTTTAAACTTTACCTCAACGCCCTTTAATCTTTACCTTAATGTCATTTAATCTTATTCTCAACGCCTTAATTTAATCTTGCAATCAACAACTTTAATATTTACCATAACCACATTTAATCTTTATATCAACAACTTTGTTATTTTGTTCTCAACACCTTTAATCTTGTTATCAACAACTTTAATATTTACCTCAACCTCATTTAATCTTACTTTCAACATATTTTAATTTTTATCTCGACATATTTTAATCTTGTTCTCAATACCTTTAATCTTGTTCTCAATACCTTTTAATCTTGTTATCAACAATTTTAATCTTTACCTCAACACTATTTAATCTTGTTGTTAACACATTTTAATCTTGTTCTTAGTACCTTTAATCTTTACCTCAACGCCTCTAAAAAATTAAATGGTGTTGAGGTAAAGATTAAAACGTGTTGAGAGTAAAATTAAATGTCATTGAGAACAAGATTAAATGAGGTTGAAAGCATTGATGTAAAGATTAAAATATGTTGAGAACAAGATTAAAATGTGCTGAGAGTGTTGAGGTAAAGATTAAAATGTGTTGAGAGTAAAATTAAATGACATTGAGAACAAGATTAATCTTTACCTCAACGATCCCAACACATTTTAATTTGTACCTTAATGCTCTCAATGACATTTAATTTAACGATTAAAGTTGTTAAAAACAATATTAAAAAGTGTTGAGATAAAGATTAAAATATGTTGGGAGCAAAATTAAATGAGGTTGAGGTAAATATTAAAATTGTTGATACTATAAGATTAAATGTGTTGAGAACAAAATAAAAAAATGTTGAGAGTAAGATTAAAAAATGTTGAGTAAGATTAAATGAGGTTGAGGTAAATAATAAAGTTATTGATAACAAGATTAAAGGTGTTGAGAATAAGATTAAAATGTATTGAGATAAAGATTAAAATCTGTTGAGAGTAAAATTAAATGAGGTTGAGATAAATATTAAAGTTGTTGATAACAAGATTAAATATATTACTACAAGAAAAATGACTTTTTACCACGGTGGAAAAGGCTTTCTACCACGGTTTTGAACCGTGATAGAAATAGCCGTAGTAAAAAGTCGAAACTTTGCAAAATTGTGGTAGAAAAGAAAGACTTTCTACCACGGCGCAAAACCGTGGTAGAAAATATATATATATTTTCTACCACGGTGCTTAATTGTGGTAGAAAGTCCACCACGGTTTTGCACCGTGGTAGAAAGTCTTTCTTTTCTACCACGGTTTTACACCGTGATAGAAAGTTTATTTTCTACCACGGTGGGGAACCGCGGTAGAAAGAAAGACTTTCTATCACGGTGCAAAACCGTAGTAGAAAGTGTTACATAATTTTTTTAAAAAAATAATAGTTTAGTCCACACCTTATATATTTACTTAGCCAAAATAAAACAAAATAATTTACAACTGACCAATAACATCATTATATATTTACTTAATCCACAAACCCTAAATCACTTACAACTGACCAATAACATCATATATATATATATATATATATATATATATATATATAAGACCAAAATAATTTTTTAAAAAATAATTTACATAATTTTTTACATAATAATTTACAACCGCAATCCTAAATCCTAAATCACTCAAAACCAAAATAATTTACAACTGACCAATAACATCATATATATATATATAACTAAATCCAAGTCATTGTTTTATACAAAAATTAACCATATACAAATTTCAAAGAAGTACATAATCCACACCTTATATATTTACTTAGCCAAAATAAAACAAAAATTCACACCTTATATATATATGACCAATAACCGTAGTAGAAAGTGTTACATAATTTTTTTTTTTTAAATAATAGTCAAACAAAATGATTTAGGGTTTGGATTTAAACTGACCCTACATAATCCACACCTTATATATTTACTTAGCCAAAATAAAACAAAAATTCTTCATATCTTCTTGCAACTTCTTTATGAGCCATACAAAAAATATAGCGGCAACAAAAAAAGTAACGTCAACCGCAACCCGCAATCCTAGCTTTAACCTACAAAGATGTAATAGTTGAAGTAAGAGAATTAATATAAAGCAAGTTATTTAGGAAAAAAAAATATATAGTAAGTTGTAAAGTTGCCAAAATTAAACCAAGCAAAACAAGTATTATAATAAAGGTACTTTGAATGATCTACTCTTCGTATTAACTCAAGCAAAGTAAGTATTAACATGGTCTTAACTCAAGCAAAACAAGTTCAGTGTGTCAAGGACATAGTCCCAGGATTAAAGCTTAAGCATGGCTTATTTAATAGGTGATTGAAAGTACTCGAAGACAGAGTGAATTACCATCATATGATATGTTCAGATTAAAAAAAAATGGTCACTTAAGGCACGTGACCCCCTATACACCGCAAAATTGGTCACTTAAAGGCACGTGACCCCCCTGAGGTTGCTAAATTTTTTATTAGGTTTGTCTAGGGTTTGCCCTTATATGTGCTTCGATGTCTTTAGGATTTATCACACTAGTATTAAGGTTTCTCCCTAAAAATCTCTATTTGTTGTTCTTCTCTTCTCACTTCTCCTGTTATTCTGATCGGCCTTCTCTTCCAGTTCATTTAGATTATTGTTATTGCCTCTGTGTATGATTATGTTTTATCTTATAATTATTGGGTTGCTTGGTTCATGATGTCCAGGTTGCAGATGAAATTGTAGCAGATTTTACCAGAATTAACAATAGTTCAGCAGTTTCCTTCAATAAGGTTTGATCAACCCTAGAGTTTAACCTTTTTACACTGCTATTATTATGTTAACTTCTTATGTATGCTGAGATAAGAGTTCATTATTTGTCATATCACAAGTTCTTATCAATTGCTTCACAATTTTATTAGTCTATCCTCTACATTTGTAAGCTGAGTTTTCCTAACTTCCATAGAGGATGGGACCTGTTCTTGTCTCATTTTTCTTGTCCCCATCCTACTCAATCCTTTTCGTCACCCATTCATACCTTTGGCTGATTTGGCATGATTTTTAAGGTCACTCTATAGAGAATGACCAGTTTTCTTTGTTTATCCTTGCAGGCGTTGCATGTTAAGCTGATTAATGGGATTGGAAATAAATCAGCCTATTTGAAAGAATTAGAAGAACAAGTAATGTTGTCTTACCATTTTCTTTTTTTGCCCCTTAAATAAACAACAATGTAAATTATTTTTTGGGAGTTTTGAGAAATTTTAGTTATGCTATGGATATGAAAATCAGATTTGTATAAGTTTACAGTTGAAATTGCAGTTCGACAAATGCCCACTCTTGAGACTTCTTGGACTTTTATGCATCACTTTTCTGTTTTCCTTACGTTTATTTAGTTTAAGTGAAGTAGGGAGTTCTACTTATTTACAATCAACTTAGTAGCTTAAAAATATTAAATAAGTAGGAATGCCTTTCTTGCTCTAGGTCTTGATATGCCCAATACAAAAAGGCCATTGTGTAGTGCTGGTGCAGTTACTTGGAAATCTGGGGTAGAAGAATGGAGACAGATTTAACCTTTGAAGTTATTTTTCTTAAAGCTGCTGCTATCAAACTTGAATCCATGTCTACACTTGTTAGCCTGAGTTTTTACCAGCACCAAGCAATGGCCACAACATATATAATTTTATATTTGGTTGCAACTATCCAGTAAATAAAATTGATTCGTGGACACAGTTTTAGATTCATGCAACTATAAAAGTTAGAAATAGCCTGAATGGGTATATGTTTTTTTAGAAAATTTTAATTATTTAACAAGGGATATCTTTGGTTTATAGTTTCTAAGCATGAACAAATTCAACTACTAAGTTCAAAGTTGTGGTTCACAGTTTGAGAAGTGATCATCGGGATTCAACATTGAACAGAAATTCAAAGGTAGAAGACTTTATTTTAAAGAAATCTTCAAAAAGTTGGAATTAAATTGCCGTTTACACACTGAAAGAAGGAAAAAAATGAAATAACAATACCAGTGACAGAATAAACTGCATAACACAACTATTCTCTTACCCAGTGCACTGCCATGTAGATTGCCATTGCCTTTGCTCTAATTCGGTTAGGGAATATTTCTGATAGGAGGAGACTAGGGACTAGTCCAGCACCTAGGGCAAATGTGAAGACAAACCTGCATAAACAACTTCAATAAGAAAAATATACCACCATAACCTCAAGATAAGAAACTATATGTAGAAGTTTGTCTACCTTAGCTCTCTTCCACAGTTACAGTCACAAAGGTGGTTTAAGCAATGAGATACAGTAGCCTACCTTGGTTTATTTCCACAATACAAGAAATAGATAATCCTCCTAAGAGGTGAACAATTACTTGCTCTATTTGACATAGAAATTTATCATTTTTCCATTTTGAAATACCCTATTCATCCGATTTTATTTTTAGAAACTCCTAATTTTCCAGGTATTTCAGAAAGACAAAGAATGATGATAGGAAGAGAATCACCTAATGGAACATGTTTTTTATCTGCTCTATATCATCAGTTACCCCTGGCTCTTCTGTAGGAGGAAGGCACTGAATTTGTTTCATGTTACCATGATACTCATTGATGTACCTGTCACTTACTTCTTTTGGTCCCACCCCAATTTTATTTGCTTTTCCTATGATCTACAAAAGCCAGATATAAATCAACAGTTAAGTATTTTTTACAATCAAATTATCAAAAAATAGACTTAAAATAGTCAAAAAGTCGTGAACATAAATAATTCTAAAAACTACAACATACATTCCTCTTTATGAGCTAAGACAGTATTCAGAACTACAATTTCAATAACAGCCCATGAGAATTTGATTGAAAGTTTGAACACTAAATCATGGTGAAAATTTACAAAATGAAGGGAAAAGCAGAAGATGTGAATATTGAATAGTTCCTATAGGAATCATATGGAGGAATACAGTTATGAGAAACCAGCACCAATTGAGGACAAGAAGGGAAAGATTAAACTCTCAGTAGAGTTGAAGGGAATCAATTGTTCAAAAGAATGGACTATAATGCAAAAGAACTTAAATTCAAATACAAATTATTCAACACCATTGGTGTGGTGTGAAAAAGGAAACATAGCTTCAGAAAAAGAAAAATAGTAATAAATCCAGGTAGTATTTCATTTCCCACAAACAAACACTTCCTCCATTACACTGCACACCACCAAAAACAGAACCACAGAAACACCTTCCAGTTGGTACCCCCATTTACTCTAGTTTTCAGAACTAGTCCTATAAACTGCCCTAAAAATATATATATAATTTTAACAGGAATACCAACTATGCAATACAAATATACATTTAGATTGCATTTTCACTACAAAGCCATCAAACAATTACACTACAATCATCTAAAAATAATGAAAACTGAATATCATATTAGATGTAATTGTTCCCTTTCATGTATTAAAATATTTATAAGGATACTAGAAGAAGAAGTATAGAAATGGTTCATGACTAGTTGCTAATGAATGAACCATCAACTAAACATCAAGCAAAATAATTAATTAAATCTCACACAACTATGTTCCCTTTCATGTATTCATACAGATTTTAGTTAATACAAGAACCACTCCTAAGCACAAACAATTGAAGATATGCTACTTTGGTTTTCACAACAAACCAATAAACTGATTCATTCCATACTTGTAGCTGCCTTTTGGAGTATTTGGAAGGAGAGGAATTGTAATTCAGCTACATAGCACATTCTTATTATAAATCAGATTTATCCATTTTATTTTATTTCTGGTTCTTAGAAATTTTTTTTTTTTTTTTTTTTTTTTTGATAAGTATTTCTGGTTCTTAGAAATGAAGAAAAGAAAAAAGAAACAGAGAAAAGAAAAACGCTAAAGAGTGATAGTAGGACAACATCATGTGATAGGGTCTCATATTTCTATTTTTTTTCCTCTTTTTATTTTCAATAGAAAATAAATAAATAAGTGGTAAGAGTGTTGCTTTCTTTTTCCCATTTTTTTGGTAGGTATTGTGAAATTTAATGAACCAAAAAATAAATTATATAAGGAGAACTCTTACATAACATAAGCACCTTATATATTAGCCCTCGGCTAGACATCCATCCAGCAAAACTCCAATATGTTGTTATACTTGCCTGATTAGATGATTTTCTTTTTCCTCCATAAAATAAAGTTAGCTTAGAAGAGAGATAACATTTTAATAATTAGCCTTTAAAACGTAGGAAAGTGCTTAATTTACAGGTTGGAGGTACCTAAAAATCATTTTCACAATAATAAAATTGGAATGCTCTTGCATATCATGAAGATGATCAATTTGTTTACCTGATAGCGTAAAAACATCATATCATAATAAAACAATACATTAACAAGTCTCATCCAACATCAGAAATGCCTTTAATTTCTAAGAATTCATTTTGGAAGCACCAGATCGGCACATCGAAAATAGAATTGTAAATTTCCTCCAATTCCAACTAAAATATGTTCGACACTTGGATAGACTACAACTGTTCTTTTTTTTAGGGAAGAGGGGGGGGCCTGCTGGGAAGAAAAACAAAAGAAAAAGGATCTAAACAATTATAAGTTCCAAAATGTAGGTCCTTTCTTATGAATTTATTGTTACTTCCCAATTATCTCTTTGACCAAGTCTAGAATATGGAAATAATCATAAAAAGTAAAATAAAAATTTACCCTCAGGTCCATCCACACTCACCCTATTTCTGCCTATAAGGTTATTGCATGGGCTCCAACCAACGATAAGATCAAAACCAATAAAGGAATCTATGAACTGATACAGCCGTCCACCATTTAGCTGTAGAACATCAGCAATGGCAATCAAATTTCCTCTCTATTTATTTATTTTTTTTTTCACACCAGTTCAACAGATACAAGATTCTTCGAAAGTGCAAGATTCTTCAAGCAAAAAAATTCCCCAAATAGGATTTAGTTTGCAAAACAAGAATTACAGACCTTGATTAATTGATTTAGAAAAATAAAATAAAATTTAATGTTCTTGTTGACATTTAACTGCATTTTTTTTCTTCTTGTTTTTATCACTATTATTTTCTTTAGTAAAGTCATGTTTGGCAAGCACATGGTATATACTATACATTTATATACCAGAATAATAAATTCAGACAAAGGCAGGCCTCAAGCAGTAAGACTGCATATGTTACAATATACAAAATGAATGAAAGAAAGAATTGCGAGTCAAAAAACTTGCCAATGGACAATGTTATGAATGCACTAGGGAAACCTAGGCCACATAAAAGAAACATGCATAGGCAGTGCAGCTAAATATACAATACAACATGACCTATGTAGTGAAAGAATTTGTTGATGGTCCCCATTATGAAAAGGCTATAATAAAAACATTCGTATTGGATTAAAGTACAGAAATTACATTCAACTAAACAAACATATGCATAAAGAAATGTGATATTTGAACTTAGCAAGCAGATCCATAGGCAATTAGCAAACACTTTGCTGCACCAAAGGAAGCATTTAAAATTCTTATTGCTCAGGACTATGGATGGATATTAGAAAATCATAAAGTCATCATCACTTACTGTGGTAGGAAATCTTTATCTGTTGTAGCTTCACTGAGAATACGTTCAAACTCCTGAATATTTTGCTTCATTTCACGTGATAGCTTGTCATGTGCTGCAAGCTTTGCAATACTAGGAAAGTAAGCCCGAGCCACATATAGCAGGTCCTTCATCTTCTTCACTAAAGTCTTTCATTTTTTCCCTATGTTCATGACGCCATAATCAGTAGCTCCCAAATTTAATCTCGCAATGAGAAAAACAGGGTCATAACATTATTTTAGATGAGAATTAACCAAAATCCACATCCTAGTTTCTGATACAAGTATTTTTAGCTTACAAATAATCATATAAAAAAAATGAAAGCAAAAGGGCTAAAAGTGTATGATGATGACGATTAACAAAGAAAAAAAGCCCACTAAAAATGGATGAGCAGACATCAATAAGGTGACAACTAAAAAGTCTAGTGCGCCCACATCAGACATAAAATACACTTCCGGCAGATGATAAAAGTTAACAGTTCCACTGCTTAGGCACATTTATTTCTTAACCAGAAATTTTACGGTTCACTTGATTGTTCTAAGACAATGGATATATAATAACTATACACAATCTAGATTTACTGAAATGCTGCTAGATTTTATTCCAAAATCGAAACAAAAATAAAAAATAAAAATAGAAAGTATAATTTCCTCATGTGACGCAAGCAAATGATAAAGAAATAGAGAAAACAAAAAAATCATGAACATCCTATAGAAAGAATCAATATAGGCATTGCAAAAAATAAAATAAAAAAAGGTTTACTTAGTACACATTAAGACATGGAATTTATAAGAAACCCCAATTGAATTAAACTGAAGTCACGCCATACCTATTTGAGTATCAATTTGATGAAGATAACAATTTACAGGGATGAAAATACAAACCTCAAAATTTATCAATGCGCACACGATAAATTAGGTCTTTGGTTTAACGCCAAAGTGTCCTTCGAATAGGAGGGAGGGGTTAGGACTTCGAATGAGAGAGGGAGCTATAGTTAGGGCTTGGAGAAAGGGGGCGAATCCTTGTTCAATCTCAACGCCCATCTGTGGTGGACTTTACAGGGGCACTGCGCACCCTGAAACTCAGGGAACTTTTCAATCAGTTGTGCCGCTAACTCCTTTCTAACGTTGCGCTGACCATCGATTCAACCCTCCGCTGCTCCTCAATGGTGGAGATTTCAGAAATCAGTGGCTTTGGTAGAAGGGTTGGGCTTAGAGAGAAAGAGGCATGGGTCAGGCTTTGAAATTTGAGAGAAAGAGGATTTGCAGATCGAGTATAGATCGCGAGAGAAAGGGGCCGGCTTTGGAGATATATGTAGATATATATTTTTTTTTTGAGTATATATGTTACGTGTGGTTTATCTGTGAGTTATTTTAAAATCGTGGTAAAAAATACATGATTATTATCACGATTTTTCATTAACGGTGATAGAAAATCTTTCTATCACGATAAAACGTGCGTGGTTATAACCATAGTTTTTCATTAATCGTGGTAGAAAGTTTTAAAATAACTGTGGTAAAAAATATACTTTCTACTACGCTTATTTTAAAAACTGTGGTAGAAGACCCTTTTTACCCCGGTTATTTTAAAATCGTGGTAGAAAGTGCGTGGTAAAAAACTGTTTTTTTTATAGTAAATGTTGAGAACAAGATTAAAAAGTGTTGAGATAAAAATTAAAATATGTTAAGAAAAAGATTAAATGAGATTGAGGTAAATATTAAAATTGTTGATAACAAGATTAAATTAATGTGTTGAGAATAAGATTAAATGGCGTTGAGGTAAAGATTAAAGGTCATTCAAGTAAAGATTAAAGGTATTAAGAACAAGATTAAATAGCGTTGATGTAAAGATTAAAGGTGTTGAGAATAACACTAAAAAGTGTTGAGATAAAGATTAAAATATGTTGAGAGTAAGATTAAATGAGGTTGAGATAAATATTAAAGTTATTGATAACAAGATTAAATTAAAGTGTTGAGAATAAGATTGAATGGCGTTGAGGTAAAGATTAAAGGGTGTTGAGGTAAAGATTAAAAGTATTGAGAACAAGATTAAAATGTGTTGAGGTAAAAATTAAAGGGCATTGAGGTAAGAATTAAAGGTGTTGAGAACAAGATTAAAACGTAGTGAGAGTAAGATTAAATGGTGTTGAAGTAAAGATTAAAGGTGTTAAGAACAAGTATAAAAAGTGTTGAGATAAAGATTAAATATGTTGAGAACAAGATTAAAATGTTTATCCAATTGATTTAGAAGTTAAGATTAAAAGATGTAAGTATACAATTGATTTAAAGTATTGAGAACAAGATTCAATGTATTTAAGGTGTTAAGATTTATGTTGAACAAGATTTAAAAGATATATCTAATTATTTAAATCACATTAATGGGAAATTATTTAAAAAATATAAATCAAAATATATTTGTCAACCATTGCATAAGACAATTTAGAACAAGAAGGCTAAACAACAACAAACCATTTTATCTAATATTTTGTTCAATTAAATTTTACGAGCTCAAAAATAAGCGTTGTATATTTTGATTTAAAAGGGTTGAGAGGAAAGAATCCAAGGAGGAAGACAGTGATCGACGAGGAAGATTGGAAAGAGAACGGAAATAGCAAACAATATATTTTGATTTTTAATTTTTTAATATTCTACCATTAACGTCGTTGGTTGTTCCGTTTCACTCTTAAATTACCTTTTTAATAAACATACCTTAAATGAAATTATTTATACTACAGCATGGGTACAATATGGTCCGTTTCTCAACATATTTTAATCTTTATTTCCACACTTTTTAATCATGTTATCAACATCTTTAGTCTTGTTATCAACAACTTTCATATATACCTCAACCTCATTTAATCTTGCTCTCAACATATTTTAATTTTAATCTTAACACTTTTTGATCTTGTTCTCAACACCTTTAATCTTGCTATCAACAACTTTAATATTTATCTCAACCTCATTTAATCTTATTTTTAACATATTTTAATCTTTTTCTCAACACTTTCTAATCTTGTTCTCAGCACATTTAATCTTTACCTCAACACTATTTAATCTTGCTCTGAACACATTTTAATCTTATTCTTAACACATTTTATCTTGATCTCAACGTCCTTTAATCTTTACCTCAACGTCATTTAATCTTATTTTCACTACCTTAATTTAATCTTGCTATCAACAAATTTAATATTTATCTCAAACTCATTTAATCTTTATCTCAACACTTTTTTATTTTGTTCTCAACACCTTTAATTTTGTTATCAATAATTTTAATATTTACCTCAACCTTATTTAATCTTGCTCTCAACATATTTTAATCTTTATCTCAACATATTTTAATCTTATTCTCAGCACCTTTTAATCTTGTTATCAACAATTTTAATCTTTACATCAACGTCATTTAATCTTGCTGTTAACACATTTTTATCTTATTCTTAGGACCTTTAATTTTTAACTCAACGCCTCTAAAAAATTAAATATCATTAAGGTAAAGATTAAAATGTGTTGAGAGTAAAATTAAATGTCATTGAGAATAAGATTAAATGAGGTTGAGAGTGTTGAGGTAAAGATTAAAATATGTTGAGAACAAGATTAAAATGTATTAGGAGCATTGAGGTAAAGATTAAAATATGTTGCGAGCAAAATTAAATGTCATTGAGAATAAGATTAATCTTTACCTCAACGATCTCAACACTTTTTAATCTATACCTCAACACTCTCATTGACATTTAATTTAACGATTAAAGTTGTTGAAAACAATATTAAAAAGTGTTAAGATAAAGATTAAAATATGTTGGGAGCAAGATTAAATGGGGTTGAGGTACATATTAAAATTGTTGATAATAAGATTAAATGTATTGAGAACAAAATAAAAAAGTGTTGAGAACAAATTTAAAAAGTGTTGAGAGTAAGATTAAATGAGGTTGAGGTAAATAATAAAGTTGTTGATAACAAGATTGAAGGTGTAAAGAACAAGATTAAAATGTATTAAGATAAAGATTAAAATATGTTGAGAGCAAAATTAAATGAGGTTGAGGTAAATATTAAAGTTGTTGATAACAAGATTAAAAGTGTTGAGAACAAGATAAAAAAGTGTTGAGGTAAATATTAAAATATGTTGAGAGAATGATTAAATTAGGTTGAGGTAAATATTAAAATTGTTGATCACATGATTAAATTGATGTATTGAGAATAAGATTAAATGGCGTTGAGGTAAAAATAAAAGAGCATTGAGGTAAAGATTAAAGGTGTTAAGAACAATATTAAGTAGCGTTGAGGTAAAGATTAAAGGTGTTGAGAATAATTTTAAAAAGTGTTGAGATAAAGATTAAAATATGTTGAGAGCAAAATTAAATGAGGTTGAGATAAATATTAAAATTGTTCATAACAAAATTAAATTAACGTGTTGAGAATAAGATTAAATCGCGTTGAGGTAAATATTAAAGGGCGTTGAGGTAAAGATTAAAGGTGTTGAGAACAAAATTAAAATATGTTGAGAGCAAGATTAAATGGTGTTGAGGTAAAGATTAAAGGTGTTATGAACAAGTATAAAAAGTGTTGAGATAAAGATTAAATATGTTGGAACAAGATTAAAATGTTTATCCAATTGTTTTAGAAGTTAGGATTAAAAGATGTAAGTATACAATTGATTTAAAGTGTTGAGAACAGGATTCATTGTATTTAAGGTGTTAATATTTATGTTGAACAAGATTTAAAAGGTATTTCTAATTATTTAAATCACATTAATGGAAAATTATTTAAAAAATATAAATCAAAATATATTTGTCAACCATTGCATAAGACAATTTAGGACAAGAAGGCTAAACAACAACGAACCATATTATCCAGTATTTTGTTCAATTTAATTTTAGGAGCTCAAAAATAAGCATTGTATATTTTGATTTAAAAGGGATGAGAGCGAAAGAATTTGAGGAAGATAGTGATTGAC